AGCTGATGGGGAGGCCTCCTTTTTTACTGTTCTCCCCAGAAAATGAACCTCCCTCCCTCCGTCCTTCCCTGCACTGAGGGAGGACAGCTCTGAGCCCTGGGAGAGGGGTGTGGGCACCTGGGAGAGGGGTGTGGGCACCTGGGAGAGGGGTGTGGGCACCCTCCCAGCAGGGAGTGGGGACCAGCCCTCAGAGGCAGACTTCCTGGTGGAGGCGTTTCCTAGAAAGAGAACCGAGCAGGTCCTTTCTGATGCCGCGTGCTGGCCGCCAGGAGGAAGGCTGACGTGCCCGGGGGGCTGGGTGGTGCCAGGCAGGATCGGGGACAGTCACCTGGCACCCCCTGCACCCTGTGGGGGAGCCAGCCCTGCACAGGCCAGCGGGGAGCATGTCTGGGCCCAGGGAACAGCTCGGAGACCCTCGGGGGCTGTGGAGGGAGGAGGGTGAGGTCAGGTCAGAGGGGCCACGGGGCCTGTCACAGCCCACAGCCAGGAGGAGGAGTTGGGGTGTCTCCCCGTGCACTGGGGGGGGGGAGAGTGAACCAGCGATCTTTCTGTCTAAGAAAGGAGCTCAGGCCACCTTAGGCTCTGCCATTTCTGATATGACCTTCAGACTTTCAGGGGGCCACAAACTTAGGCACCCCACTGGTGCACGAATTCCTGCACTGGGCCTCTAGCCCTATCTAACAAAGAGGGAATATGCTAATTGACCCTCACACCATTGCAAAGATGGTGGCACCCACAGCCAATAAGGAAGGAATATGCTAATTGACTGCCCCACTCTCAAAGATGGCGGTGCCCACAGCCACAAGATGGTGGTGCCCAGTCCCCTCAGGCCCCCAGCTGCCCAGGGCCACCCGAGGCTCAGGTAGCCAGGTTCAGCTGAGGCTCGTGCTGCCGGCAGTGGCAGCAGCAGTGGTGTGATGGCGCGTCGCCTTCCCCTGATCACCGGGTTGCCTCCCCCCCATGAGGGCTCCCAGAGTGTGAGAGGGGGCAGGATGGGCTGAGCGAGCCCCCTCCAGTGCATGAATTTTCATGCACCTGGTCTTAGTATAAAAACCCAGTGGCCCTAATGCCATAACGACCAAAGACTGGTCACCAGGAGGCTGCGTGTGTGGCAAGGTGTGCACGGATGGGCAGGACAGCGTGCATGGCAAGGCGTGGGTGGTTGGGCAGAAACTTGACTCTAGGTTGCGTGGTGCAGCGGGACTTGGGGGAGTCCTGTGGCATGGTGAGGTCTGGGGTCCCGGGTCTCATGCAATTTCTTGTGCTGGGTAACTATCCTATCTACTAATAGACAAACATGGTAATTGACTGTACCTTCGCTATGCCTCCTATTGGCTAATCAGCATGATATGCAAATTAACCGCCAACAAAGATGATGGCGGCTAATTTGCATATACCGGCTGGGCCCGAAGACCAAAGACACTGCAGAAGGAAGCCAAGCAATGGAGCCAAGGTTGCAGAGATGGGCAGGGTAGGATCCGCAGAGATGGGTGGGGTAGGAGCCACAGAGAAGGGCGGGGTAGGAGCCACGGAGACGGGAGCAAAGCCCTATTCTTGCAGGAATCCTTCTGCAATGGACCTCTAGTCCTATCTAATAATAGACAAACATGGTAATTAACCATACCTCTGACATGCTTCCCATTGGCTAATCAGGGCGATATGCAAATTAACTGCCAATCAAGATGGCGGCAGGCAGCCAGGCAGCTGAAGCGAACAGGAGGCTTGCTTGCTCCATAATGGAGGAAGCCAAGGTTCCCCGCCTGCCGCTGCTGGCCTCTGAGCTGCAGTTTAAGAAACATTGTTGCAGCCGGAACTGGTTTGGTTCAGTGGATAGAGCATCGGCCTGCGGACTGAAGGGTCCCGGGTTCGATTCCGGTCAAGGGCATGTATCTGGGTTGTGGGCACATACCCAGTGGGAGATGTGCAGGAGGCAGCTGATTGATGTTTCTCTCTCATCGATGTTTCTAGCTCTCTGTCTCTCTCCCTTCCTCTCTGTGAAAAATCAATAAAATATATTTAAAAAAAAGAAAGAAAGAAACATTGTTGCAATTATAGAAGCTAAACAATCCCCAGAAACCTGCTTTCAGCCGTCATACCTGAAGCGAGCAGGACCAAAACAATGTTGCAATTATAGAACCCAAACAAACCTAGATCCCTGCTTTCAGCAGCCAAGGTCTCAGAGCTGGAGCCGAGCCTCAGAGCTAAAGCCAACTCTCAGCTCCAGTGACAGCCATAGAAAGTAAATAAATCCCAGAATAAAAAAAGAAAAAAAAAGGAGAGGTTGGGAGCTTCAGTCGCCCACCAGCCTGAAAACGGCCCTCAGCCCCTCACTCAGACTGGCCAGGTACCCCAGTGGGGACCCCCACCTTGAAGCAACAAGATGGTGGCTAATTTGCATACTGAAGGCGGGCGGCAGCAGGCAAGGCTGTCCGCAGTCGGGGACCCGGATCTGTGACCCTGCCTGGCAGGGGGCAGTGCTTGAGGCTGTCCACTGTCTGGGACCCAGATCCGTGACCCTGCCAGGCGGGGGGCAGTGCTTGAGGCTGTCCGTGGTCTGGGACCCGGATCCGTGACCAGGCGGGCGAGGGGAACCGTGGGAAGCTGTTCACGGGACCAAGACATGGATCTGTGACCCTGCCGGGCGGGGGGTAGCACTTGAGGCTGTCCATGGTCCTGGGGCCCAGATCCGTGACCTGGTGGGTGGGTGGCAGTGCTTGAGGCTGCCTGCGGGACCAAGACACAGATCTGTGACCCTGCCAGGCGGGGGGCAGCGCTTGAGGCTGTCCGCGGTCCTGGGACCCGGATCCATGACCCTTCACGGCGGGGAGGCAGCTCGCACAGGGGTGGATCGGCCGGGGTTGGGCAGGGCAGGACGCCTGGCTTCCACCCAGCCCCAGTCATTCTGGGCAGGTGAGCAGCGCAGAGAGCTTCTGGACAGGGGAGGCAGGCCGGCGGAGGGCGGCCTGTACTCCCCACATGGCGGTGGTGACAGCTGTGAGCGCGCCAAACGGAGCCTGCAGGCTGAGCTGAAGTAGCCCCTGCAGGCCATCAGCGCCCAGGAGTGGCTGCGCAAGATCCGCCTCCTGGCCCAGAAGGTGCAGGATCGCAGGGACAGCCACTGTGGCGGGCCAGACTGACGTTCTCCTGGCCACACCACAGGGGTTTGCGGATCTGCAAAGCCAGAGGCCTCCGGTGTGCACATCCCCCCTGGCATGTGAACATCCCCCAGCACACTGTCACCCTCCCGTGCCTGCAACAGTTGCAAACCAAGGCGTGCACAAGTTCCCCCCGCCTCTCCACCGCACTTCCATCCACCCGGCATGCCTAACACCCCCACAGGATGTGCACACATCCCCTCTGATGCGCTCACGTCCTTTGGAGAGTGTCTGGGTGTTCTGGGTGCTGAGAGTGGGCGCCTGTGAGATGACAGTGAGAGGGCGGAGTGGTGATGCCCTGTTCCCACGGAGGCCAGTGCAGCTACGAGATCACCTCTGAGGGGTTAATGCAGGTGCTGAGGCAGGAGCAGGTGCAGACAGACACACCTGGCGGGCACGGGCGGCCCTCTCTGAGGTGCCTTCGGTCAGTGTTCAAGATCAAGAGCCCAGAGGCGGAGAGGAATTCCGTCCTCTCAGTGAAACAGTGGGAGAGTCGGGGCGACTGTAGAGGAGGAATGTGCACTTTGGGTGCCAGCACCCATGAGTGAAGGCTGCCCTGACTGAGCCTTGCTTGCTTGGGGCCTAGTGCACTCCTGCCGGGCAGCAGGTGACAGGACGTGCTTTTCCGAATTAATGAGAGAAAATGTTGATTCTCCTGCTGCCCATGAAGGTGGAAAGTGAAGTGGGGAGACATGTGGGGAATGAGCAAGGTTCCCTGTCTGGGGCTTCCAAATCTGCTGTTGGTTTCTTTCACCGCTGACTAGAGATATACAGGGTGTCCCCCCAAAATGTATACACACTTTGAATACCTACTAATTCCAATGGTTTTAAGCATAAGAAAGAAACAACAATGGAGCTGTTATCTGTTAAAAGTGTAGGCACAAACAGGTAGTTGGACATTCCCTGAGGGGTCTCAGATTGGAAAGGGTGAAGGCCAGACTGAGGCCCCCCCCCCACTCCAGTGCACGAATTTCGTGCACCGGGCTGCTAGTTATATATAAAAGGCTAAGTTGACTTGGGCATGCACAATACATATAAAGCTCTCACTGGCACCAATTGCACATGTGTGTTTCCATCTGTCATTGTCGATCGTGAATTTGGTTGACACTTCTATTATAGAGAAAGGGCGAATAGTGATATGAAAATATTTCTTCTAATTACTTTCCTTTCAATGTGCACAATCTGTGCACCAGGCCACTAGTAAGGAAAATAAACCACATGAACCATCCACTGCGAGCTCACAGCTCATGGGGCACAGCACACAGTGGGACGCGCATTGCAACTGTTACCTCCCTCAATCCTCACTGAAGCCACTGGGAGGCCCCCTCCATCCTCGGAGTCACTGCCCAGGGTCTGAGCGGAGGGACCGGGAAGCCCAGCTCTAAACTACCCGTGGGCAGTGGCGGGCTGCTCTTCTCTATTTATTTATTTTTAAAAAATATTCCCACTGATTTCAGAGAGGAAGGGAGAGAGAGAGAGAAAGAGAGAGAGAGAGAGAGAGAGAGAGAGAAACATCAATGATGAAAGGGGAATTATGAATCCGATGCCTTCTGCACACCCCACACTGACGATTGAGCCTGCAACCAGGGCCTGTGCCCTGACCAGGAATTGAACTATGACCTCCTGGTTTACAGGTCAATGCTCAGCCACTGAGCCACGCCGGCCGGGCCTGTTTGCTTATTGACGACCAGCAGAGGACTTGTCACGTGACGGTGCTGTCCTCTCGCCCACGGCAGAGCTGGGTCCTCCCGGAGGAGGGGGTTCGCCCTGGACACTGGGAAGAGCGAGCTTTGGGTGGGAACTGACGCGTGGGAACCCTCCTCCCGCAGATCCGAGAGGTGCGAGATGTCCCGTAAGGTGAAGGACTCCATGAAGTCGTCCAAGATGTCCCTGACGGAGGAGGAGGAGACCACAAAGTCGCCCGAGACGTCCCTGAGAAAGGAGGACGCCATGAGCCTTCTGTGCTCCCTCTCGGAGGCGAAGAAGATGAAGGTGCCCGTGAAGCGCAGGAAGCGGCGTGCCGTCGGGCTCACTGGCACTGGGGCCTTACTCGGGGGCCTGGCCGGAGGCCCGCCGGGACTGGCCCTTGGTGAGTGCAGTGCCCGGTGGGGTGGGGGACAGAGGCCCTGGGTCCCCAGGGGCCTCACAGGAGCCTGCGACCCGGGTGAGGGACTGGGGAGCTAAGCCTGAGACTCGGCCTATGTGTACAGACGTGTCCGGTGGGAAACACGTGTCTGTGTCTCAGATGCGCAGGGCGCCCTCCTGTGGCTCCGTGCGCCCTTCCCAGGGGTGTGCCCTGTGTCCCCTGGGCAGGCCTGTTCCTGTCTTCATTGCAGGGTCAGGGAGGAAGCTGGGATTCCAGGCCTCTGGCCGCTCACGTTAGCTGTTCAGAGAGCACCCGGCTCCACCCCAGTCCCTGGTCCCCGGTCCCCGGTCCCCAGTCTGTGCAGGAGAAGCACCCACAGTCGCCCACATGCACCTGCCTCTGGTCTCACCCCCGCTCCCGTCTGGGGACCAGTTTCTGCCAATGAGGGAGGTTGGCTGGTTCCCATGGTCCCTTGGAGGTCGGGTGAGTTGCTCCCTCTGGTCTGGGAGCAGGAGGTTCCCGGGGGACCCCCCCACGGGCTGTGGTCTGAATCGTGGGAAGGAGCTCCCAGCGAGCTCCAAGCCGGCATGGTGAACAGCCCTACTCACCAAAATTCCTGTTCCCCAGGGAGCGTTCTCGGGGGGCTCTTAGGGTCCTTGTCGTGGAGCACGGAGTTTAAGCCTGTCAGTCACATCCTGAAGGAGCTGCCGCCTCCCGAGCAGGAGAAGCTCTGCAACCACGTTGTGGCCAAAATCGGGAACCTGCAGTGGAGGGACGTCGAGCACCTGACCAAGCTGGTCATGGGCAGCGAGGCCCTGCAGGAGCAGCTGCTGAAGCTGCTCGAGGGCTACGTCACCAAGGAGCTGAAGACCTCAGTGAAGTACGGCGACTAGGCTCAGGGCGGGGCCCTAACCCGGGGGGGCCTGCGGGGGGCGGGGGGCTGTGCTGGGTCCTGTTCTGGAAAGTGAAGGTGAAAGAGAATAAAACGGGGCCGAGAGAATCTCTCTGTGCTGAGCGGATCCCTGGCGGAGAGCCTGCAGCCCTGAGCCCGCACAGCGCAGGGACCAGCGGACACGGGGCCTGGGAGGGACGCAGGGCGCAGCCTGAGCTCAGCCAGACCGCGAGCAGCCGCCATCGCTGATGAGTCCCCCCCCTGCCCTCTGTGCTGGCTCCTGTCTGGGGGGCTCAGCCCTGCGGCACCCGGGCGCCTGAAGCAAAAGCTTGTGGATGCATCACAGCTGGTGTCATAGGTGTGCGACCCGGCCCATCAGAACCTTCCAGAAAGAGCTGTCGGAGCCGCTGTGGGCGCGGCCCGTGGGGAGCTGGCGGCAGTTTCTGAACCCTCTGCCCTCCGTGTCCACTCTCCTGACACGGAGGCAGAGGGCTCAGCCGCTCAGCTGTGAGGGTGACTGCTGTCCGGACGCCCCTGGCAGGACGGGACCCTCCGGGCCCAGGGACTCGGGGCCTGGCCGCCGGCCCTGCTGGAACCATGCGGCCCCCGGAGATCGCCCCCAGCCCCCCTCGTCCCTTCCCAGGGGCCTCATGGGGGTGAGGGGGGGGCACCAAGGGCACCAGCCAGCAACCCGGCCTGACTCCCCCTCCGGGTCCCGCTGGTGAGGCCGCTGCTGCAGGAAGAGGGGCTCCTGGGGAAGTGGGGGGTCAGGACGACCTCGAAGAAGTGACCGCCCTCAGGTCCCCACACACTGTGCTGCCTTCAGACCCGCAGCTCCCCGTCTGCAGATCCACACGGTTTCTGAACAGCCTTCCCCTCCGATTCCTGGAAAGATCTCTAATCCGGGAGACGCGCACCCCCAACGCCGGGGACAAAGGGAAGGCACGGGGGTGGGTGACTGTAAACATGGAGGGAAGCTGGGCATTCCCTGCCTGAGGACACCTTTCCAGGCTGCTCTGCCTCCCCCTGCCTCCAGGGGGCGCTGCTCCACCTTCCAGTGCCTCCAGGGTGCGCTGCTCCCCCTCCCTGGGAGTGTGTGTGTTTGCATGGGGGGTGCCCTCCTGCCCAGGATGGTCAGACCCCGCACCTCCATGTGCACAGAAAACTCGGGGGGATTGAACCCCCGGTGCCTCAGGAAGGACGGAGCTTTGGTCT